AACGTCTCTGTTGAAAGGGATGTAGGGGGCAGATGCCTCCCTGTGAGCAAATCACACAGCTCCACTTCTAGAAAGCAATTCGGTGGAAATACACGTGTATAAAAGGCAAGAAAGGGCCGGAGCGACAGTCCAGAGGGGAGGGCATTTGCCTTGCACATGACCAACCCGGGTTCAATCCCCGGCATCCTATCTGGTCCGCCAGTGTGACTCAAAAAGCAAAAAAAAAAAAAAAAAAAAAAAGCAAGAAAAATATCACTGTATCACTGTCATGCCGTTGTTCATTGATTTGCTTGAGCGGGCACCAGTAACGTCTCCATTCATCCCTGTCACGTGCTAGTGTAGACTGATGGCATACTGGGGGCTCTTTCAGGGTCAGGGGAATGAGGACCATCATTGTTACTGTTTTTGGCATATTGAGTACACCACGGGTAGCTTGCCAAGCTCTGCCATGCAGGTTGGATATTCTCAGTAGCTTGCCGGGCTCTCCAAGAGGGATGGAGGCTTTTGGGGCAGCTTCTGATCACCTTTATAGGTGGCCCCGGCCAGGTATACTTTCGGTAGCCTGCCAGGTTCTCTGAGAGCAAAAACTAGACAATAAGAGGTCACACAGCTGCAAATGCGGCCGCATGCTTCCGGGAGCTTGGTTTTATTGTCTCTGAGTCTTGGCCCTTGGTGGGATTACACAGCAGTTGGTGAGTGTAACCGTCTAGCTACTGAAAGATGGGGGATCTGGGTGGAAGAGGCCCAGTCCCGATCCAAGCAGGCTTGGAGATCTACGCCCAGGGTCCTGCACACCTGGGTTCCTCTGCCAGTTCCTTCATGTGTGAGGCTCATCTGAACGTGCGGAGAGTGGTCTTAAGCATGGCTGTGGCTGGTTCAGGAGGTCTTCAGCTGCCGGGGCTCTGCTCGGGGCGGGGAGGGAAACTCAACCCGACCCCCCTCCAAGGAGCCCCAGTGAGGACAGCCAGGCCCGAGGGCAGGAGACTCTGCTTTGTTCTCTTCTGGGAGCTTGGTTTTATAGTCTCTGGATCTTGGCCGTTGGAAGAAAAATAAGGTGCAGTAAAAACTTACAGGTCATCAAAGATGTGAGGGTCACCGCAGAGCGACAGAGCAATGCTCTGCAACCTTTCCCCAGCGTGGCCCCAGGCCAAACCTGCTTCCTTCCTGCGCAGCCCCCCATCCTACTGGCTGGGCCCCTCGTCTCTTGCCAAGGCCCTTCAGCTCTCACGCGTGGTCCAGCTGAACACGCTGGGGGCCCACGGGGTCCTTCCGGCCTCCGGTGGAGAAACGCTGTTCCTGGAGAATCATTCCCACATTTACATTTCACAGAGCGTTTGCAGATGTTGCAGAAACGAAATCGAGTGCCAAAGATGCCAAATTTAAAAAAGCAAGTCTGGAGAATCCCATGGGGGGAAAAAAGACCTAGGTGTTGCTTTAAAATACAGAAAATGTTTAGAAAGATTAGGAGGGGCAGAGGGGTTTACCGGGTTGGGGGGGGAATAAAAAAAGGCCTCATTTTATTTCTATATAACAACACTGAGTGCGTTCTGAGCAATTGGATTACTTTGTAATTAAACAAATGAAAGAGTGAAAAGCGTTTCCTAAATCACTCAGCCACGCATGGCTTTCAGGGTTGCAAATGTTTAGTTCCTGGGGCTCCGGCACGGCACTCAATCAGCCTTTGCTAACTCCGGTTTTGAGAGTTATTTTGGTTTGGTTTGGTTTTTACATTTTTAAAAGCTACTTTTTCTCCCCCATATATTTTTTAATGAATCACCGTGAGATCCAGTTACAGACCTACAAACTTTCATGATTAGGTTTCAGTCATACAGTGATCAAGTACCCATCCAGTGCTCTTTCTCCACCACCAATGTTCCCAGGATCCCTTCCCCTCCCCACCCCCCATCCTCCCGCCTCTGTGGTAGGCACATACCCTTTTACTCTCTCTCTCTCTCTCTCTCTCTCTCTCTCTCTCTCCTTTTGGGTGTTATGGTTTGCAATACAGGTAGTAAGTGGCCATCATGTTTGGTCTATAGTCTACTTTCAGCACGCATCTCCCATCCCGAGCGAGCCCCCCAAGCATCATTCACTTAGTGCTCCCTTCTCCATCCCAGCTGCCTTTCCCCCCGGCATGTGAGGCCGGCTTCCAAGCCGTGGAGCGATCCTCCTGGCCCTTGTCTCTATTATCCTTGGTGTTAGTCTCCCATTCTGTTACTTTATATTCCCCAAGTGAGTGTAGTCGTTCTATGCTGAGGGTTTGTTTTTTTCTTTAAGTTTTTAACCTTTTCGTGTCTGTTGCTTCAAGCAGGGGAGGGGGGGGGGGACAGCGCACCTGAGCTCCTCACCCACTCCGCGGCGGGCTGTGTGCTGGCGCAGTCTAGAGCAGAATCATTTCTGCTCCAGGGTAGCGGGGGTCAGGTGAGGGTCAGGCCCTGCGAGAGGGGGTCCAAAGGGCCAGAGCACACACTCGATACGCTGGAGACCCCGGGTTTGATCCCCAGCACTGCACGATCCCCAAGCATCCCTGGGAGTCCCCATCACCATCAGGTCTCACCCAAAACAAACAAGTCCCACCCCCCAAAAAAAAGCAAAAATCAGGATTCCTTTCTGGAAAGGCCTGATGCGGTCATGAGGTCGGGGAGCACGGGCTAACGCGAGGGTGCACCCGACCTTCTGGTGGCTGGGGCTCTCTGCAGCCCTCTGAGAAGCATAATGCAAACCGGGAGGGGGGAATCTGCCCGCCCCTGCAGTGTTTCCCAAATAATTAAGGGCTCAGATTCAGGATCAGGGTCACTAGAGTAGCTTCAAAAGATAAAGGTGGGGGCTGGAGAAACAGCACAGCGGGGAGGGAGTTTGCCTTGCATGCGGCCGACCCGGGTTCGATTCCCAGCATCCCATAGGGTCCCCCGAGCACCGCCAGGAGTAACTCCTGAGTGTAGAGCCAGGAATGACCTCTGTGCATCACCGGGTGTGACCCAAAAAGCAAAAAAAAAAAAAAAAAAAAAAAAGATAAAGGTAGGATTGCTGGGGAAGTGGGTCTCTCCTGGAGAGACCAGTACTGTCAACTCTGGTTTTAAAATAGGCTTAAGACCCCTACCCACCCCCACCACAAGAAATCAATAAATCAATCCATAAATAAAATAAAATAGGCTTAAGCCCTATTCACTGTTTCCCACCTTCCCCTTATCCCCCCCCCGCCCCCCAGACTTTGATCTTGACAACTGTCGTTTTGCTCACTGAATCCTTTTCAGGAAACATAGCTCCCAAGATTGGAAAGGGATTTGGGTTCAAGAGCTGTTGTAAAACACTTGAAAGTCAGAAAGATCTGGGTTGAAATCCTAACTTCCACTTCAAGCTGCATTCGCATGGGCGAGTTCGCAGCCCTGGGCCCGGAGTAGAAAGGGGACATTGTACTGAGCGGAAATACACACGCGGCGTGGAAACAAAGTTGGGGTTTTTCTGCACAGAAAACCCGTGTAAAATGGGAGCTAGGGCGGGTGGGTTGGTTGGTTTTGCGGTGCCAGGGGCTGAACCCAGGCCTCACACACGCAAACGCGCCCTCCACTCGGAGTCACTTCCCCAGCCCCCCGAAATCCCTCGGTCGAGTGGAGTTAGACCTTGCAGAGGGGAGAGAGCGAGCTCGAGGGCTAGGGGAAGCCCCTGAAGTGCTCCAGCGACTCCAGTGGGCCAAGCCTCGAGCGCGCCGATTCACCAAAGGGAAACTGGTTTCACCTGTCCGTGAAGCACGTAAGTGCAGCTGACAGAATACAGCGAAGTCAGGACTGATATTGTAAGCTATTTTTAAAACTGCCTGGTTAGTAAATTAAGCCAGCTGCGAAAATATCCCAGTTTCCATTCACAACAAATACAAGACAAACGTTCTCCTTTACCGAAGCTGGTCTCACGGCAGCTTAGCATATTCTGCATAACTCAAGCCTAAAGTCTTCAGAGATATCATTTTCATAAGACAGAACAAAACCAAAGTATTTTCTGGCGGAGGAGAGGCCAGCAAGGAGTTTCTCTCTATTGGTGATCGGTACATTGCACGATCGCTGTCCCGTTCAACTTAGGAGACCACCGTCTGAATAAAAAGCTGTAGTTATGTCAGTCTATAAAGCCAGTCTTTGCAGTTTTTCCTTTAAAAGGGCATCTGAGACACCACTGTACTCTGAAACACAATTTTTCAAGTTCTGAGATGAGGGAGTGAAAAAAAAAATACTCCCTGCCACCAAAAGGCTACAAGAAATTTAAAACTTATCACTCTTTAAGAAGTTGAGAGACTCTTGAATTATTTAACAAGTTAGCTAAGTTATACTTTTTATACTTCCTATTCCTTTAGAGAAACAAAGATTTGTTGTTTTAACAAAGATCCTAAGTATAAACAACTAAATGGAATAAATTTCAGGAAGGACTAGTCAAATAAATTCGCACTTGGGATGAAGGGCAGGTATTAAATGAGTTCACTTTGTAACGACACTCGAAGAAAAGTCTACGCAATTCCTTTCCACTTCCTGTGGAAGTCGACCAGACTTAGGTTCAGTTTAGAACACCCGGAGCCTTAAAAGCTTTTACTATGGGGCTGGAGCGATAGCACAGCGGGTAGGGCGTTTGCCTTGCACACAGCCAACCTGGGTTCGATTCCCAGCATCCCATATGGTTCCCAGAGCACCACCAGCAGGAGTGATTCCTGAGTGCAGAGCAAGGAGGAACACCTGTGCATCGCCGGGTGTGACCCAAAAAGAAAAAAAAAAAGCCTTTGCTAACATATAACATAAATTTTGATTACTCAAGCGTGGAAAAACTATGAAGCCATAGTTTCTGGTCCCTCCAGTTCACAGTCCATCTATACATAGACGCGACGCATTAGCGCCACCAGAACAACCGGTGAGAATCACAAGATGCCCAACGTCTGCCGGCCCCTGGAACAGGCACCCAGCGCCCTGCACCCGGCACTTCTCAGGAGCTGTAATAGGATCCTTTTTAAATAAACCGTGACTCACTGTTTGCTTTCTTCACCAGGAGGTGGAGTCTTGCCATGCCCTTCCATTACAAAATCCTCCTGTTCCACCTGAAAAGGAAAGCGCCTCAGGTCAGCAGTCGTCAATAAGACGCAACTCCGCAACTCTGCAGAGAGCGCGCGCGAGGGTCCCTCGGAAGAACCACCCCGCCACCGCGGCCCGCGTCCACGCACCCCCCCTCTCCACTCAGGTTCCTGCATCCCTCCTTGGGGGGCTACAACTGCCCAACTCAAAGGAAGTCCTCTGGGACAGGGAGATGGCTCCGTGGGCTGAAAGCGTGCTTAGCACAAGGGTCAGCGGGGTTGGTTTCAGGCACTGCACACCCCGAGAACCTCTGGGGATGACTCCCAAGCCTGAGGCAGGAATGGTCGCCAAACACCACCAGGTATGGGCCAAAAACAAAGGGGGGGGGGGGAGAATGTTTACTTACAATTGCCATAACTGTGACAAAGGGTGAGCATACAAAATAGAATCAAGAACTCCTCTAAACCAAGTACTGGGGAAATTGTCTGCCATTGAGGCAGGGTGAGGACTGGGATGGTGTGTGTGTGTGGAGGGGGGTACTGGGGATGTCAGTGGTGGAAAATGTGCACCGGTGGAGGAATGGGTGTTCGATTATTGTATGGCTGACGCTTAAGCATGAAAGTTTTGTATCTGTAGCTCATGGTGATTCAATTAAAAAAAAAAAAGAATTTCTATAAACCTGGGCTGGAGAGAGAGCACGGTGAGCAGGGCATTTGCCTTGCATGCGGCTGAACTGGATTCAATCCCCAGCATCCCATAGGATCCCCCGAGCACTGCCAGGAATGACCCCTGAGCACAGAGTTAGGAGTAACCCCTGAGCACCACTACCCTGAAGCTTAACCCCTCTCCCAAATAAGTAGACATCTACAGTACAATTTCTACGTGAGTGAATAGAAACATAGACGCCGATCTGGTGTGTAAACTCTATACAGAAAGGGTAAAGGTAAAGGTAAAGGCCCTCCCGTTGATCGTCGATTTGCTCGAGTGGGCCCAGTAACGTCTCCACTGGAGACTTTGTTGTTACTGTGTCTGGCATATCGAATACTCTCGGTAGCTTGCCGGGCTCTCCGAGAGGGGTGGAGGAATCGAACTCGGGTCGGCCATGTTGGCCGCTTGTAAGGCGAACGCCCTACCCGCTGTGCTAAAGAAAGGGGAACAGTGAACAAAATTTAGGACACGATGGTGGTGTACTTCCTGGCCCACGTAGTAGGTATGGGACAGTCACTATATATTCTCTTAACCGTCTATTATTTTCTTTTCTAAGTGTGATTTGCTTCTTAATCCAGGTTTTCAAGGAGGGAAGTTTTAGTATTCCAGAGGGTTTACTGGCCATCGGTGAGGACGAGGGACAGCGCTAGACCTACAGCCACAGAAGGAACTGGGGTCAGTCCTATCAAAACCACGATACAAGTGACCCCCCCAAACCCCAGGGCACGTGGCCCCCCACAAAAGTGGAAGACGTGTTAAGCAAAAATTAGAAAAGTCACACAATGTGGCATGACCTCTACCCTTCTCTGAGGTTCTGCTTGCTTCTGCTGCCAACACCCAGGTTCACACGGTGATCTAAACCCCTGAAATAAAAGAGCGTCACCGTGACAGAGGGGGGAAGGAACTTAAGGAGGTGCTACAGATAATCTGGACTGGGTGTGGCTGTCAGCGTACACATGCGCACATTGAAAAAAACCACCGAGCTATGCATTTTCCACACTTAATCGCACACACGCTATGCCCTGATTTGGGGGGGGGAGGGGAGGCAGTGACAAATTTCTTAGAAGTAATTAAAATTCCTTGGAACCTCCAGACTAACTCATTTTTTTTCAAGACAGTACATAACTATTCTTCCTTTTATTTATACTAAAAAAAATTTCCTTTGTTTTTCCTTCTTTATTTTTTTTTTTTAATTGAGTCACCGTGAGATGTGATAGCACAATGGTAGGGCGTTTGCCTTGCAGGCGGCCAACTCGGCCGGACCCGGGTTCCATTCCTCAGCCCGTCTCGAAGAGCCTGGCAAACTACTGAGAGTATCTTGCCCCCACGGGAAAGCCTGGCAAGCTACCCGTGATGTATTCGATTAACGAGTCTCACAATGGAGATGTTACTGGGCCCACTCAATCAAATCAATGAAAGGAGGACTGTGCTACAGTGTGACCGTGAGATATACAGTTACAAAGCTGTTTAAGATCGGGTTTCAGTCATAGAATGATCCAACACCCATCCCTCTACCGTGTCCACTTCTCATCACCAATGTCCCCAGTTTCCTTCTGGCCGCCCCTGAAAAACTCTCTTGATCCTTCCAGTTGAAATCTTCTCATTATCAATGAAAATACTATTCCCTGATTATGAAATACATGGAAACTCTCTGTACTGCGTTTGCAAAATTTTTTTTTTTTAATTTATTGAATCACCATGGGAAAGGTTACAAAGCTTTCAGGTTTAGGTCTCAGTCATGTTTGCAAAATTTTTGTGTAAATTTTAAACTGTTGTAACTTAACAGCTTAAGCTGTTAAGTTCACACAAAAACCAAAACTGTTTCAATGACTAAATGAATTTCTTTTTGTAAAAACTTGACGTATACATATATATAAATTACTTAGATACTGGTACATTTAACTATACAGGAAAGTGATAGTTATTTTTCTAAAAAGCTTAACTATTTGGGGGAAGTATGAGAAAGTGAGATGTGAAAGGAGAGAAATAAAATTTTAGTTAGAGGCAATCTGTTCAAAGTGTGCAAAAAAATTGGTAAACATATAAAATCAAAGTTTGAGTAGCAAAGGTATTATTAAAAATTTGTACTTTTTTTTCTAAAAAAAAAAAATAAAGAAATCCTCTCAAAATTTTTTCCCATGGAACATGGGAGCGGGTGTTCGGGAGAGCCCTTGGGGTGCTGGGCGGGAGATGCAGGTACTCTAGCGATGGGTGTGGTGTTAGGACGCTAGAGCTGTGGGAAGTCCAATTAGCAGCACTGTAAATCCCAGTCCTTCAATAAATTGCTTTTTAAAACTCCTCTCAAATTAAAATCGTGGGCCCTAGTCTCTGCTCATTAGCTGTCCTTCCTCACCCCCCCCCCCCCCCGGTTTAATCCATTTCTAATCAAGCCCAATAATGAGAAACAGCAGTGATAAGCAACACCTTCAACAATCTCTCGAACTGCGGCTGGAGCAATAGCACAGCGGGTAGGGCGTTTGCTTTGCATGCGGCCAAGCTGGGTTCGATCCCCAGCATCCCATAGGGTCCCCTGAACACCGCCAGTAGTAATTCCTGAGTCAGGAGTAACCCTTGTGCACCACCGGGTGTGACCCAAAAGCAAAAAAAAAAAAAAAACCCAACAATCTAGTCCCCATATGATGCACATAAGTTTTAGATGATTGGGATGGTCCCAAACGTCACGTCACCCTTGCCCTTAAAATATGCCCCCTTTCACAGCCCCTGTATCTAGACTGTGACCCTCATTCTTCAAGACCCCTGAATAGGAAACCCGGTGTCGGACAGGACGTTCTTCCTGGAAACTTCCTCTTCACCCCCAAACACTCAAACACTCTCACCACCCTCACCCTCCTGCTGCCGTCCAGGCCTCAGGCAAAGCGCCCCTCCCACCCCTCCCAGCTACAAAAGCCTTTTCACTGGTCCATGTGCTAAGGGTCCACCTCGGACCATCAAGCACCTTGGGTGAAATGCAAATTTGCTCCCAGCGCTCTCCTCAGCCGTCTCGGGTGGCGCTTCACAACCTCTCCAGAGGGGCAGCCGCCAAAGCAACTTTCCCTGCTTCCCCGCCTGGCGCACCCACTCAAGACCTCTACTGCCACACGCCCGCGGGCCCTTGGTGGCGAAGGCCCCTGGGCCACAGGAGCTCCTGGGCCTGCACAAGCTGAGTCTCCACCTATTTCCTTAGATCCCAAGCTCTGCCCCAGACAACGCTCTTTTCTTCGCGGGGTCCCGAGCCTTCGCTCGCGCCCCAACACCTCAGAAGGCTGCGAAGACCGAGAAGACGGTCCGGACAGGAGGGGAACGGGCGCAGGGCGAGACGAGAAGGCGGAGAATGGGCCAGGCTAGGTCGAGGCCTGGCCCCTGGCTCCTTCCATCACCCCGCCGGCCCCTTGGCTCTCCCTGTCAGCCGGGAAGCGGGGAAACCCCCACGGGGCCCCTCCCCATCACAGAGTCGGGGACTCTCCCCTCACGAACCTGCTCGGCCTCCTCCGTGGACACTCCCGCTGGGCTAATCCCTCACCGTGCCCTGCGCCTGCAGTGCTGCCTGCAGCCAGAGAAAGCCACAAAACTGGTTCCTTCTCCAACGCATCCAACTCACTCCCGCGTCTACTCCGAGCCTCTGCTCCTCAGGCCTGGAAGGTTCTTCATCCTTTGTGTCAACTTTTTTTTTTCTTTTTGGCTTTTTTGGGTCACACCCGGCAATGCTCCGGGGTTCCTCCTGGCTCTGCACTCAGGAATTACTCCTGGCGGTGCTCAGGGGAATCATCTGGGATGCTGGGAATTGAACCCGGGTCGGCCGCGTGCAAGGCAAATGTCCTCCCCGCTGTACAAATGCTCCAGTCCCTTGAGTGAACTTTTAGCCAGCCTTTAGTACCGGGTTCCAAGGACACATTTGCCCAAACTCTGGTTTTCCACCTTTCGGCACTTCTGCTCCGCAGAGTTCGCTGCTGCCCTTCTCCCTGCTGGGTGACAGGGACCCCCGGCAGGTGTTCCAGAACCTTCCATGCACTCAGCGCACCTTCTGAGGGACTCAGAAAGCACTGAATGACTAACTCAGTGCCTCACTTCCTCTCATCCGGTAGCTTCTCTCCTCCCCTCAGCTCTGCACCCAGCCACCTGGCATTGCTTCTGGCTTTCACGCCTGCTGTCCTTGTGAGTCTCTCGCCAGAAGGCCCCCATCTCCCTTCTCAGAACCACCAGGCGTCACGCCTCTTCCCCCTCTCCTGACTTCCCTCCGGAATTATAAACTCGTGGCCTCTCCTCCACCAGCTCCCTGGACCTTCCTGGCCGAGAAGCCCTTCTCCCTCCCTTTCTCGCC